TCCAGACAGGAAGAGTTGCTTAGCACTAACTAAAAAAATAAAATAAAAATGAATGGATGAATCTTAGAGGTAGTTCTGCAACTTAGTTTTCTTTGTTAGTGAGTGGTGAGAAAAGGAACGGACAAATCCAAAGACGACCTTGAAGTGAATAGAGATTTCACCTTGTGCCAGCACCTCCCAAAGCATGCATACCTTTCTGGCATTTGCTGCTACGAACTCACATTGTCCTGGTTCCTCGGTTGTCACCCATCCTTTGTGTTGTTTAATCTGCTATTGTTTAAGGACATAGGAAGGAGTTCCCTTTGAATGCTATTTCTGTTTGGTAAAAAATAATAGTTATTTATCTGGTGAATCCAGTCTTGCCAAGCACAACACCGACTTTCATCAACTCCTCAGCCTCTGGAGTCAGCCGCTGTCCTTTCCATAAAAACTCACAGGATGTTTGGCAAGACAACCCTTGCTAACTGGATATGTTACGGCTCTGGGCTTAAGAACTCTAAACCAGAGATCGTGAACAGATGCTTGGTTTTTCTCTTTTTATCTCTAAGTCAGCTGCCCCAAGATTTAGACTCTTCTTTCACACGTTTTGATGAATTCACCCTATTTTTGTTTGTTTGTTTTTCACTCTCTCTTCTTACTTTGGTACCTAGACTCTAAAAGTGTTATACTAGTCTCTCTGCTCTCAGAGTATTGCACCGAATGCCTAAAAACCTTCCAGGTCCTTGTATCAAGTTAGGAGTTCCTCCGCTGGCTTTCAAAGTCCCTTGTAATCTAACACCACACCCACTCGGTTCCCCCCATTATTCTCTAGCATGTCCTCTCAAACTTAATAAGTACATTCTTCTTATAATTCCTGTTACAGACTATACACCTTCCCATCTCTTGGCCTGTACCCAGATCTTCCCCAGCGTCATCAGCTCACAGGGCTCTTTGCCTTCCTTATTCCCACTGTATCTCAATATATAAAAAATGTCCTAGCACATGATTAGCTCTCAGCCACTCTCTGTGCACTTACTGACTGTCCTTCAGGGTCTACCTCAAAGCTAATTCTTTTATAAAATCTACACTGGGAGGTTTAAAATTCTTGATTACCCACTTTCATCTTCATTTTCATCTGCCAATTATACGTTCCTTGAAGAAGGAATCTATGACTTGCATCATTTGCTTCTCTCAGAGTATCTTAAAATGTGAGAAAGTAAATATTATACTTTGGGAAAAGGTCTGTAATGACAAAAGGGTGACTCATGAAATTAATGCATAAAATTAATTGATCACTTACTATTTGTCAGGCACTGTTCTAAGATCCGAGATGGTGGCCTAGATGAACTGGGTTCTACATCACTGCCACTGCTACTTGTATAACCTCTACTGATACACTTGACTTCTCTGAGCTTTGGGAAACTCCTTTATAAACTAAAATGGTTTAACTGGGTTGTTTCTAATGTCTCTTCCAATTGTGGTATTATCTACCATGACTTTTAAGTATTTACTTATAGATTCATGAGCGGTATTCTATAAACACTTGTTGATTAACTAATACTATAACCTTTACCTTTCCAAACTCATGATTGTGTATTTTCAGTTTCCTTTTATTAATTTATTTGTTCAAAAATGTGTATTGAATACTCCTGTGTCATAAGCAGCATGCTAAAATGTTTGAGGTACAGCCATGAACACAATTCCTGCATCCCAAGACATGCTGCCTCTCCTACCATAATGCACTCAGTGGACCAGTGACTGAATTCACTGAAGTCTCTCTGATAGTGTTGCCAGTGGAAATAGGACTCTTTCACGGAGACACAAGAAAAGCATTTCAGGGACCCACGCATAGGACGATGAGGTCTAGTGGTAAGATTTATCAAAGCTGGAGCAAACTCAAAGGACGGTCTCCAGGTGCCCGATGTCTCCTCCATGACCACACGGCTTACCGGCCTCCCCCTGTGGAAGAAGTTCATCCTTGTCTTCACCAAGCCCAAAAGACAGGCCAGCGGTAGAGATACTGTGCCATTACCTGGCTTCGGCAGGGCATCAGAAGCTGCCCTAATTCAGTTTAGTCTATGTGAAAGCTTGGTACATCTCAATCTCTGTCCCCATCTGACTAGCTCAGTCTCTGTTCCCAGCTGGGCTCTGGCCCAGGCCACACTTGGATCCCACCCAAGCTTGGGCTCAAACAGGCAAACAACTGTGTACAACCCAGAGGGGACTATGTTAAGCTTTGCTGATACATTTTTTTTTTTTTTTTTATAATCCTCACCCGAGGACATTTTTTGTTCAGATAGAGTGGGAGGGAGAGAGAGAAAGAAACATCGACGTGAAAGGGCCGGGGACAAACTGCAACTGAAGTACGTGCCCTTAGCAGGAACCGAACCGGAGTCTCTCTGGACCGCAGGCGGACGCTCTAACCCCTGAGCCAAACCGACCAGGGCAAACTTGGCTGATACTACATTGGGCTTTGGAGAGAGAGATTTTCTTTCAAGCTAGCCAGTCTCTTTCCTAAGCCTTTGAGGGCTTGTGCTGGACCTTCCCCCATCCAATCTCTGTCCTGGATCTTTCGTCCAATCCGATCCCTTTCCCAGATCAGACACCTCCCCTTACGGGCTCCTTCTTGGCTTCTAATGCACATGTCCCCAGCAGGGGACTTTCCCCTTATCCCTCCCTTGTAATCCTCCTGCTAATAGCTGGTTGGGGGCTGATCTTCCAGAATTAAGCCCCCTGTGGCTGAGGATGTGGCTGTTGGGGGGGGGGGGGCGGGGTGTGAGGCTGTAACTTCCAGACTGAATCAGTCTCAGCCAGACCGGCTCCCTTCTCTTTTGTTAACTCCCAGCTGCCTATGCTAAGGCTAGAAGAGTCAAATACTGCTAAACACTGCACCCCAAGTTCAGCTAGCTGGTATAGTCATTCTTAGTAATATCAAATATTTACTTTGAAAAAAATTTAAATAAACAAAATATTCTCTACAAGTGTAACTTATTTGGGGGCGTCTCTAGATCCATGGTTTTAAGTTATTGGTTCCTTGACTGCTGTTTTGGACAAGATGAAGGTTACGAGGTGTTCTGTGAGCTTCCCTTATACTAGTTAACAAGAGCAGCTCCATTTCAAATCTGTTTTATAGACTGAGATGAGGCTGCTAAATTTTTTTTATATCCACTGTTCTAGATAACTAATTTGACTTAAAAACAAAATAACAGCCAAGATATTTTACATAGACTCATTTAATGGTATTGGTGAATCCAGGTCAGTATATATCTTAATAATATCTATTAAATGTAATACTCATGATCCTTTGATGGGCTAAGGGACTCTGATATAGAAACTCCCCTAAATCCTCCAGGGGATCTTGTGTATAGTATTTAGAAGCATTGTTTGTATTGTATTTGAACTTCCAGAGAGTCCCTGATGCTGTAGAGCTTATTGTTATGAGAGTCATTCTCATCACATATATAACTGGTCATTTGCAGTTAAAGACAGTGTCTTGAGGATGGATTGTTTTGCCATCCTAGATTACTCCTACACTGGACTCTTCCAAGTAAAGTGAACTTGAACACATTCGAGATTTTTGGTAGGTGCAAAAAGGATTAAGTCTATACCACAAAAGTTAAATTCATTCATGATACAACAGAAGTTTAAAAGTGACTTTTTTTGCCCAACCAGTGTGGCTCAGTAGATTGAGCGTCATCCCATGGACTGAGGTCCCGGTTCAATTCCCATTTTGGCTCCATCCGCAGTGGGGGACAAGCAGGAAACAGCCGGTTGATATGTCTCTCTCATATTGATGTTTCTATCTCTCTATCCCTCTCTCTCAAAAAAAAAACACAATAAAAGCATATTTTATAAAATAAAAGTACTTTTTTTATAAAGCTCAAGTCCATATCAGAAAGCTACTTTTATAAATAATTTAATATCATTCTGGATTTATTCAGCAGTAGAAAATAATATTTTTTTAATTTTCAATATTGAAACAAAACAATTAATAATAAAACAGATATAAATATAATATAGCCTTATGTGCACTAAAAGAAATCCAGTGGGCAATCTACTAATACTGAAATAACTCATTTATCTTTTTTAAAAAGTTTTTTTTTTTTAGTTACAGTTGACATTCAATATTATATTCATTTCAGGTATACAGCATGGTGGTTAGATATTTATGTAACTTACCAAGTGATCTCCCTAATAAGTCTAGAACCCACCTGACACCATACATAGTCACTACAATACCATTGACTAGATTCCCTATGCTGTACTTAAGAAAATGTTCAATAAGAAGCACTCAAAGACAATCTTAGCTCATAATATGCTTTTCTGATACACAACAACTCAATTCACTAGTGTGTGGGACAAATGACCTCTCTTTGGGTTGTCCCAGCCCTGGTTTACTTCTTCAAAAGGATATTCTTGATTGAGCTTGAATCCTGGGTTGGAAAGGAGAAGTTTGATGACCTTTAAATACTTTTCTTTCCCAAGACCTTCAAAAGTAATATAGCTAGTTTCATCTCACAAGCCTTAAAAACACCCCTTTGTCCTGAGATTGTAGCAAGAATGTATTGGCCAAGACATTTTTCATGGAGGCCTTCTCATATCAAGCCCTGCCTTGAACTGTCCTTGTGATTATGGTTCCTGCAAGTTGGTATCGCTCTGACTCTGATATGCTCACAAATGCCTTTAGTCTTTGCTCGTAACCAGTTGTGTTAACAAATGAGATTCCAAGAGCTAAAAATCAGAATTTCAGGTAATTAGTCTTTTGGACAACTTAAGAGCATTTATCTAAAATAGGATACTTTGTATGCTTTCAAAGTCAGCTATAAGATGATTACAAGTTCGAAATACCCCGTTTGAATTAGGAAACTAAGAAAACCAGTCACTAGCCTGAGATCTCTGTTAGCCTTTGGGCTTATTTAGATTATGGGCTAAACACGTGATGACTATGGGCCTCTTCTTTGAGGGACAACTCATATTAGGAAATGAAGTTTACTCAAAGTCTGCTTTTTTTTTTATTACAGTCACAATATTCTTCTCTATGAAGATGGGCATGCTGTGGTGGCAGATTTTGGAGGTGAGATTTCCATGAATAATATCAGTTTCTTTCCTCCTTCTTAGTTTATGCCTAATATTGTATGACAGATGTTAAAGCAGATTTCACCCCGACAGCTGTACTCTCTAAGTCATTCAAACTTCAATGACCCCGATTTTTTAAAACTGTATTATTTATTTTCAGTGCCCCCCCCCCCCTAGCCTCAGCTAAAATAAGGCAAATGCGAATTTAAAGGGGATAGAACCTTCCCAGAGTTTCCAAATTTTAGCTGTAATCTTTGACCGCTGCTTTAAGATATTTCCTTTGACATGGATTTGTTTTGTTTCCCTCAGAATCAAGATTTCTGCAGTCTCTGGATGAAGACAACATGACAAAACAACCTGGGGTTTGCTGCTGCTTGTGGCCCCTATAATTAGGAAACAATCGAAATGTGTAAACTCAGCGTGAGAGGAAGAGAGAGGAGAGCAGCTGTCGATGGGAGAAAAGGCATTGTCCCAGGGGCAGGATCATCTCACACTTTTATTTTCAGTACACCCTCCAAAGACCCATTTCAAGGCTCTCCCAGAGAAATAGATTGGATGTACATTTGAAATTTTTATATGATTAAGATAATACAGAATTTGTTTCAAACGTAACTGAAAAGTACATGGCAGGCATGGATGATTGGCTTTCATGTTTAGATCTCCTTATTAAGGAGTATACTTAACACAATAGGTAACTCACTATGAAATTGGTAGCTTATCAGCATCTATTGACAACTCGTTTTCCACTTTACCATTATAAGGCAACAGGTAGTCTAGCCAAGCATTAATGCTTAGGTAAAATAGTATAACATCTGAAGCAAGCATGATTGCACTCAAAATGTCTATTTCATTCTTCACCTGCCCTCTCCTCCATCCCAAAACCCTCCCAGAGAAGTACGCTCCCCTTTCTGGACTACCTATATTATTTAATTACCCAAGCTTGTGGTAACTTTCCACTCCTTCCTTTTCCTGCTTCCACAGACACATTACTCAGTCATTTTTTCTGATTATTCCTTTTATTTTTAAGTTCATCCCAACTTCTCAATTTCCACCTGCTTAGTTCAGGACCTCGTCATCTCTCCTGGATGATTGCAGTAGGCTTCTAACTCCAGTCCTCTCCTCCAGTTCATTCTTTGCAAAACCAGCCAAGTGTTGTGTTTTGATAATTTACCTCCTCCTGTAAACCATCAATACTGCCCACTTCCCATAAGCCAAAATCCCAGTTCCTTTGCTTGGCAGCCTCCTGCCCTTCCCACTCTGGCCCCAGACCCCTCGGTGACCTCCTGTCCCATGCCAAGGTCTCTCAAGTTCCCTGTGCCCCAGCACCTGCCCCTCCTAGCCATCTTCCAGACATTCAATTCACTTTCACATCCCTGCAACTCTGCGGCCTGGTGGTCCCTGCACCCCACCTGGAGGAAGTCTACTTTTCTTGACAAAGCCCAGGAAATTGTATTCATTTTAGGTGCCTTCCATAATCTGCCCACCCCTCCGCCTCCTCCCCATACATTTTTCTCTCTGTGCTTTACACTACTGGTTTGTACTCTCATTCATCCAACAAACATCTATTGAGGGCCTGCCATGTGCCAGGCATTGCACAAAGGGCCAGGAATGCAAACTGTGAATAAAAGCTTAGTCCTTGATCTCAAGGAGCTCATTTGTTAACGAGGAAAACAGTAATAAGGGGATTGGTTTAAAGCAGTTTGGAGGTTCAGTGATAAGGTTTGACAGAGAGTCATGGGAGCTCAGGTGGGGAGAATAGATGTAAATCAGATGTGGGAAAAACAGAAAAGAGTGTCAGACCAAGTAAACAACACCATGAGCAAAGACATTGGGGAGGTTGAGAAGTACTAGACTTCCTGGGGGAACTTCGTATAACTTGGCATTGTTGGCATGTACTGTATGAGGAAGAAAAAGCGATGCGTTATGGAGGAAGGCAGGAAAAAGATCATGGACCATGTAGTATCCAAGTAGGATTATACATGTTGGCTTCCCCTGTTACATTTCATTCATTCATTCAACCAATAATTATGAAACACCTTCTAGATGCCAGATATTCGTTTAGGAACTGGGAATATTACGGTGAACAAAATAAACTTCTTGTTCCTGTAGAGTTAATATTCAACTGGAAGAAGATAGACTCTGAACCAGTTAATAAAATAAGTGGTAATACGTGTTATGAAAAAAATACAAAGCAGGTGTATGACTGGAGAGTGATGAGGGGGCCATTTAGATAGGATGAGAGGGAAAGATAACATTCCATAAGAGACCTGAGGTAGGCGTCATCCATGTGGGGAAAAGAGCAATGCAGACAAGGGAAACAGTAAGTGCAAAGGCCCTGAGGCAGGAGAGTTCTTTGTGTGTTCAAGGCCAGAGTGGAGTGAAGTAAGCAAGGAGAAGAATGGTAGGATACGAGGTCAGGCAGGTGTGAAGAGTGTGTCCTCTTTGGACAGCACACAGAGACCTCGTCTAGCATCTGGGACATAAAGGTAGCTAAATCAGTGGTTCTCAACCCAGGCTACACATTCACATCACTTTGGAAACCTGTTAAAAGCTTACTACCTAAATCCATCTCCCAGAAATTCTGATTTTATTGGCCTATGGTTGATTTGGGGTATCAGTAATACCTTCTCAAATCACCCCCAGGTGATTCTAAAATTCAGCCAGTTGAGACTCCAACTAGACAAACTTCCCTAGAATGGGATTTAATTGCATTTCACCAACAGCCGGTTACATCTTTTATTGGGGCAGGTCTGTTGTCTTAAAACACAGAACTTCTCTAAATTTATTTCAAAGGCTATTCTGTTTCTTACCAGTTATATAGCTTATGTAAGTTTGCTAATTATTCCATTGCCCGCCTGTGGAAAATTGGGCGTGCCGTATGCCCATTCCCACCGGTGCCGTGTTGTGACACAACACGTAATCTGCTGTGTAAAAGGAGGCTGTTTGGAACGTGGAAGCTCATGTGGAAGAACCGCATGCAAGCACCATAACAGGAATAAAGATGTTCTTGGGAAGCTATAATTAGGCATGATTTCAAAATAAGGTAGACACTTCAGAGGAATTACCTGCAGCCAGCATTACTCACAGGATTTCAGTAAGAAAACTGGTTGCCTTCAGTGGAAATACAAAGCAAGAAGGTGTTTGGCAAAGATCATTGATACGGTTATGGAGCCAGGGTGTTTCAGAGCTGGAAGGCCTTTCCTCCTGTTTTGCCCTTGGGGGAATGAAATTCTAGAAAGCATAAGAAATGTGCCCAGAGCTCCCCAAATAGTGGCAGAGCCAAATCTAGAAGTTTCAACTTTTAACTTAAAATCTAGTGCTGTTTCCTAAAACACAAATAAACCAAATCCATGCATTTGCATTTCAGAATGGAAACATACCTAAAACTGAAAAGTACCTACTTGCAAGAGAAAATAATGTAAATGCCGTCTACACATGAGGCTAGGACCTGGTGCAGAGAAGCTGACCTGTGACATTTCATGGGCTTGCTTTCTGGGGTATTGCACAGGAGCATTCAGAAATAACGTGTCTGGGCGAACAGGAGATATGACAGACCGATCCTCCAGGGAGAAATCTGCTTCATGGGTATAGTCTGGGCACTCCCCAAAGGCCCTTCCTCTCCTCAGTCATTCGGGCACTATGTAGGGGATGCCTTCAGTGATTTCCTAAATTACAACCTGAAGATCTAAGGGGGGACAGGTGTCCCCCACAGTGCAGATTCATCGCTCCCAGGGCAACCTAGATTTCCCGGGTGAACACGCGAATGGCTATTCAGAAACGTGTAAGGGTTCCAGGAGAAAGGTGATCAGATGTAAACAACAACAAAACACTGCTCTGTAATCGTCATTTAGTAAGAGACAGAGAAACTCGATAATGCGTATTGTGCAATATTTTGGGGGAAAGTATGGGTTTCATCATCTTCCAATGATAAAAAAAAAAAAAAAAGCCCTTTGAAAAACTGAACAGCAATGGTAAGCACATTATGTATAAAAACACCATTTTATTGCACACAGTGAGGGCAATGTGGATGTTATTTCACACGTATGTCTTTTGAGAATATTGGGAGAACACTTAAGTTCTCACTAAGAAGAGCACTTGTTCTACAGCAGAACAAACCACGTGGTGAATACTGACCTGTGGATGTTTCTGCACACACAGAACCTCCGCTGGATGGCTCCCGAGGTGTTCACACAGTGCACACGCTACACCATCAAAGCGGATGTCTTCAGCTACGCGCTGTGTCTGTGGGAACTTCTCACCGGTGAGATTCCGTTCGCTCATCTCAAGCCAGGTAAGCCGTGCTGCCCTGAAACTTGCTGTTCTTCTTAGCTCCGTGCACTCTTGCAACTCCAAGAAACACTCTTTCCTCAGAATGAATATTCTTGGAGGGTGGGCAAAGCGAGAGGTAAGTGAACAATCTCAAATTGTTCGAAGGTGTGGGTCCAATCCAAAAAAACGCAATGACCTAATTCTGTGATTTTAGACACAGGCACACAAAAGTTTAGGTATATTTTATTGAAGTTTAGGGCTTTGATCTATCTGTTGTTAATAAAACAAGCAAATGACTATGGCCATGTGACACGTCGGTGCAAATAAAGTGAACAGTGCAATGCTTAGCTCTTGATATTCGATGTCAGAAAAGCCATTTCAGTGTGCATGGAGGGGATGAGTTGAAGTAGCCAGACATTAAAAGAACCTGTCAAGACTGCTTTCTGCTTGTTTCACATTTTACAAAAGATAATTACTTTTCCTAATCATTTTGTGTTACATATATGGATACATTCCAAACATGGGGCTTTGTGAGTGAGCCTAATGCTGATAATATGCATTATACCCTATGTCCATGTAGATGGTGGCCGTAGGGAATTTAATCTCAGGATCTGAGGTTTCTAGTAAAATTTATTTGCATCTGCCTCTTCATTTTATTCAGGTTTCTTTCATGTTTTGTCACACTGTTTACTTATTTATATCCCCAACTAGACTTGAAAGCACTTAAAGACTTTGCATCCCCCAAACCAAGCATGCATGGAAAATTGTTTCCAAATTAAATCCTAAATAAAATTTAAATAAATTGTGTTGTAAGCTCCTAGTAGCCAGCCTATCACAAGAATAAGTCAAAGGCAATTTTAGGGAAAGACAAATCTTACAAACGTGAATAGTCGTAAATTAAAAGTCTTAACCAGGATCACAATAATGGTTAGTGTTTATGTACAGAGCAAAAGCCACATTTCATATTTTCTTTTTAAGATATCTTTCTCCCTAATACCATATGGTCTTTAATTACCTTCAGCATAGTGTCTGATGGAGAGCTTTCCCTGGATTACGTGGTCTGTGTATAGTTATTGAGCACAATGATTATTTAATCTCTATAGACTTTTCCTAGTTTTAAATGATGGATTTAGCCATTACTATAGTGTGGATATAAGAACTCTATTTTGAACTGAACCAACACTGCCATTTATAATGTTTTGCTCGGACATGCTGCTATCTCTTTACCCCTTAGAATTTTCATTCTGATTAAGACCAGTGACTATATTTACAAAATACACTAATTCTAAAAACTCCAGTAATTCTAGACATATGATATTTTCCATAAGAAAGAAATGCATCTTCCTTCTTCCTATCTTCTTTGTCAATTCATTCATCTATTCATGTTGATTTTATGTCCTAAACACATCTTTTTTAATCTTCACCCGAGGATATTTTTTTTACATTTATCTATAGACAGAGTGGGAGGAGGAGAGAGAGAAAGAGAAACATCAATGTGAGAGAGACACACCAACTGGTTGCCTCTTGCATGAACCCAGCCAGGGCCAGGGATGAACCGCAACAGAGGTACGTGCCCTTGGCTAGAATCAAATCTGGGATTCTTTGTTCCGTGGGCCTACGTTCTAACCACTGAGAAAACTGGCCAGGGCACTACATCTTGAATTTATTCACTAATTAGCCCCATCCACCACCATTCTAGTTCAAGCCACCATCTTTATCATTTATGCTGCAAATATCTTTCTTAAAATGAACTTTATCAAAGTATAACTTATATACAGTAAAGTGTATCATATTAGGTTAACAGTTCAATGAGTTTTAATAAATTTACACAGTTGTATGTCCACAAATACAATCACAAGAGAGTGCATTTCTATCACATCAGATAGAAATGATAGAAATGGTGCCTCTCTGGAGTTAATCCACTTTTCCCACCTCCAGCACCTGGCAACCACTAAACTCATTTCTGAGCCCATAGCTTCGCATTTTCCAGAATATCATATAAATAGAATTATGTGGTTGCATTAATAAGTAATTAATTCTTTTTCATTCCCGTGAGATATTCCATTGTGTTAATGTACCTCAATGTATTTATGCATTGACACATTGATGATCATTTGTGTTATTCTCACTTTGGGGCTATTGTGAATAAAATTGCTAAAACCACTCAAGTCTTTGTATGGATGTTCCATTACTCTTAGATAAATACATAAGAGGTGGAGTACTAGATCTTACGGAAAGAGATTTTCCAAGGTGTTTGTAGCATTATGGATTCCCACTAGCAGTGTATGAGAGTTTCAGCTCCTCCGTATCCTTCCCAGCATTTTTTCGTTATTTATTTAAAATATGAATTAGTCACTAGAGTAAGTGTATCCTGCTGTATCACTGTGGTACTAGTTTATAGTTCTCTAATAACTCATGATGTTGATAACCTTTTCATGTGTTATTTGCTATTCACATCTCTTTCTTCGGTAAGGGGTTTGTTCAAATTTCCTTATTATTTACTCGTAAGGGTCCTTAGATTCTAGGTAGAACTCTTTCATCTGCTATGTGTTTTGCAAGTATTTTTCTGTAGTTGGTGGCTTGGCTTTTCATTTTCTTAACAACATCTTTCAAACAACAGAAAATTTTAATTTTAATAAAGTCTACCTAATCAAAATTTTAAATCTAATTTTCTGTGTATCCTAACTCACCCATGGGCACAAAGATTTCCTCCTGGTTTTTTGTTTTTGTTTTTTTTGGTGCATGCCCCTAGTGGGAACCAAACACGGGACTCTCTGGTCCGCAGGCTGACACTCCAACCGCTAAGCCAAACCGGCCAGGACTCCTCCTGTTTTCTTCTTTTTTTTTTAATCCTTACCCGAGGACATTTTTGCATTTATCTTCAGATAGAGCAGGAAAGAGAGAGGGAGGAACAGAGAGAGAGAAACATTGATGTGAGAGAGACACATCGAGTGGCTGCCACCCACACAACCGAGGTACATGCCCTTAGTGGGAACCAAACCCGGGTCTCTCTGGTCCGCAGGCCAACGCTCTAACTGCTGAGCCAAACCAGCCAGGGCTCCTCCTATGTTTTCTTATAGAGAAGATTCATAGGTTTGAGTTTTATATTTGTAAGATCGAGTTCAGTTTCTTAAAAATTGTACAAGGTATGGGTTGAGTTTGTTATTCTTTTGTTAATTTACTGCCTTGTTTTTTAATATAAATTTCCAACTTTTCAGCTTGATTAGTTGAAAAAACTCTCTCCATTATATTTTTTTGGTATTTTTGTTAAAAGTCAATTGACTAGATCTGTGTGTGTCTGTTTCTGAACTCTATTCTGTTCCACTGATATGTCTACCCTTATACCACCACCGACTATTGATAGGTTATATTAAGTCTTGCAATGCAATATGAAACCTCCAACTTTGCTCTTCTTTGTTAAAATTGCTTTGGCTAAGTCTAGGGTTTTCCTTTTTCATATACATTTTAGAATCAGCTTTCTAGTTCTACAAAAAAAAAGAAAAGAAAGAAAGAAACATGCTGGAATTTTTATTGGATTGACTCTGTAGATCAATTTGGGTAAAATTGACAACTTAAATATATTGAATTTTCCCAGCGATAAACATGGTGTATCTCTCCATTCATTTAACTCTTCTTTAATTTCTGTCATCAATGTGTTTTAGTTTACATTACACAAATCTTGCACATATTTTTTAGACCTATTTCTATGTATTTTGTGTTTCTTGATGCTACTATAAATGTTATAAATTTTTTAATGTTCAATGCTTCTTTTCTAACACTGAGATATAATTAATTTTCAAATAACCACTTAATACCCTACAAATTTGCTGAATTAACTTATCAGTTCAAGTCACAGTTTTATACACCTTTAGGATTTTCCATATAGATGCTTAGGTCATCTATGAATCAAAAAAATGTTATTTATTTATTTCCAGTCCATATATCTTTCATATCTTTCTCTTGCCTCTCACACAGGCAAGGACCACCAGCGCCACACTGCAGAGAGTGGTGAGATAATATAACTCCAATCGACCTCCTTCTAGAACTCCATCCCCCACCACCCTGGTTTAAACTGCTGTCTTGATAACACTTAAATTACTGCAACAGTCATTTGACTGTTCTTTTATTCTTGTTCCTCCTTCTTCTTTAGTTCCTACATATCCACTGGAATGATATTTCAAAAACTTGATTATGACACCATTGTTTAAAATTATCCCATGACTTTCCATGTTCTTAGGATTAAATCACAAAATTCTAAATATGCCCTGCAAGACTCCGCGATGCCACGGCTGATGCCACGGCTGTGCCCTTGCTTGTGTCGTTTACCTTGCCCGGCTCCAAGCCCTCACCTTCTTCTGCTTCCTTCTAACGTTGCCCTTTTGCGAGCTGTTTCCTCAATGAAAAGCCGTTAATGGCGATGCCACAAAGATTGCTCTGAGGATTAAATGAGATGATGTTTGTGACTGAACTCTGGAAATTGAAAACTCTTCAACTGTAAGACGACGAGGGCAAAGTGTGGACTTCCTTCAATTCTCCACTCGAGTGGAGCTCATCCTCCAGGAAGTTTATATACACACTTCTATCAGCTCGACTCTCTCGCCCCTTCTTTCCTTTCTTCCCTCCTCCCTTTCTTCTTTTCTTTCTTCGTTCTTTGGGTTTCTTACTTTTAGTCTCACTTCCTAAACATCTCGAATATGTACAGATAGCACCCTCTTCACTGCCGCTTCCTCATCCATGTGCAGAAAACCACATAGTGTCCTAAGTGGTACCCTTGTCTCCAGTTTTGTTCAGCATTTTTTTTTTTTTACCAATCGCCATTCTATAACTATATTTAGTTTTCTAAAAGGACTCGAATTTGGCTTTCCTTACTTAAAATCTCTACTGTTTTTTCTTTGTCTCAAAACAATCCACAAAGCTCCCCTTAGTCACATCCCTGCTTCCCGCCCCAGGTCTACCTGCAGTGCCCACCTGTCCTCCAGCCACGGGGACCAGCTCATTCCCCCAACATGCCACACTTCCTGT